AATTAAGGCTCCTTTATTTTGGCCGAAATCTATTTTAATAAATACCCCCTGAAAATTAATTTTATTTTTGGTTATTATTTTTAACAAAGCTAATTGGCAAAATGTGACATATTAATTAAAAGAATAAACACAAATATTTAATGAATACGCTTTGCCATATCCAACAATATTAATAATTTATGATATAAAATTGATTACACAATTTCACTCTGTATAATGAAATCAAATTTTTTTGGAAAAGAACAAGATTTCCTAAAACTCTCAAAAAACTAAGCAAATACTGCTGATTATAATTGAACTAATGTTATTTTCAATTTATTTATTCTTTGATTAAATTTTGGTTAGTTTAGAATATTATCATTCATATCTATTCTAACATTTACAAAGGTTGAGCTGAAATTTCAAAATTATTAATGTTCTTATTATAATCTTTTGTGTCACTAGCCATCCTTTCACTTTATGAATTGTAAATCAAGATGTCTTTTGCGCCTGCATCTATATTTAAAGCTTTATAGACAAATTTAAGGATTTAATTTAACTATTTATTCATTATACGCATTGAAATCTATTTCATAAAAAAAGAAAGGCAGTTATTAAAATCTAGAAGATATTTATATTATGATTGAATATAGGTTCTGGCAAATTAAATTTATCTAAATTATAACAAATATTTTATAGTTTAAAATATTAGAATAAATTGAAAAATTGTAATTTAATAAAAAGAAAAACAATATTATCCTAATCATCTCAAAATCAAAGGACTTAATCAAACTAAGACATTTGAAAACTACTTATAATATAGAACTATTCTAGTTTATTATCATTATTCTTGTTACGGAAAGTCTTTAAGAAGTGATAGTAAGCACTAAATTTAATCTTATTTTGAATTCATACAAAACTTTGATCTTGAATATTAAATATCAAATTTATTTTAATTTATATTAACAAGTAGGCTCCTTTTACAGAATTTTTACTCTTGATCACGGTGACAATAACGCTAGACTGACAATTACCTTAGTTAAAATGAGATAATCCAAAAATGAATTGCTCAATGTTAGAATTCGATTAAGGAAACTTAAAATTGAATTATAGTAAATCATTATGTTTTTTAATCTCACAGCTAAATTGAGAAATTGTCAATCCATTTCTTTTATATACAGCATCTTATTTGTAACTTATGGAATTATGGCTTCTAAGACCAAATAAAAGTTTTTGATAGATTAAGGTTCAATCTTAGTGAGAAAGAAAAGAATTGTTTAAAAATAAAATTACTCTGATTTTATGAAAGTTACCAAGAGAGAAACAAAAATATATTTCAACTGTGATTTTCATTAAAACCTTAAGCAGACTTCACAATTAATTGTTTTAATAATTATTATTATATTTTTCAATCTTGATTAGTTTAATTCAGAAACAAACAATTATTTTAACTACCCTTTAAGGAAGTAATAAAATTTGTAAATTATGAAACTATAAATATTAGTTGAGCAATTGCGTTATATTTGAGGGCGATTTTTTCAAGGGCAAATTCAATAACAGGGCATCCCTGAAGTTAACTAATTTTAGCATAGGGAAAATACAAAGAGAAGTGTAAGAGAATGCTAGGTAGAACCTAGTTTTTTATGCTAGACCCTCTTTTATTCATGTAGTCTTCCTTGAGAACAGTAATGCTGATCACACTATATTTAGATCATGTCTTGATGGCTCGTTCTTACTTCTCTGCATTAAATAAATGATCTGCATACCAAATTTTAATCTTACCTATTTTGCAGAAGCAAACATATATGAAGTTGTATTAATAGATGATATATTGATACTGGTTATATATAACTGTCAATATATGTTTAGCTTTAACCCTATCCTTTATTGTAGACTTTAAGTGTAGTGGCAAATGGTCTATGTGGATACTCACCACTGGAACAGGTTGTGCATTTTCTTAATTATATGTACATAATTTTATCCTCATGTTGCCTTGTCTTTTCTCTAATGTAGAGCTGAAACTTTAAATACTGAATTCATTATCTGCAGCTGGAGTAGCAAGTTTATCAATATTATGTTTAAATCTTAATAAGATTAATCTCTATATTGCTATGATTCCAAAGCTTTTACATTAGTTATGTGTTGATAAATTATTGATATGTTAGTTTTCTTATACTGCTTTCTTCTGCTTTCTTCTACTGATTCTCGGCGTGCATAATATCTAATACAAGGTAAGAAGGTGCAACTCGCTTTACTTTTTAAATTGCAATAGTCTAATATTGCATATGATTAAAATTTCTACCTTTCTTATTAACTTTAATAAATATCTAAGCAGTAAAGCCACACTTCTGATTAATAAAATATTACTTATACGCACAATTTCAATAAATATAGTAATCGTGGTATTACTTCTTCTAATGTATATATTGGGTTTCAGCATTCATTTTCCTAACTTGCAGTAATTAAATACAAACTTAGCTTTTCTTATGGGTTTAACATTTAGCTAAACTAATGCAAATCGATGGTCTTGTGCTAAGGAAGTCCTTTTAATAATTTAGACTTTGGGCCTTGGTGTTCGTTCTCTCCTTGCATCATGTCCTGTTCTCATGTTTATTATTCTTCTACTAATGGTTTGTACTTGCCAATAGAAGGGTTTATAAAATGTAATAAAAACTATCTGTGACTTATTTAAAAATATCTTATAGGATATTACTTTAATAATACAACTTAAGCTTTTTGACTTTTTGTTGTATAAGTGTGCTGAGGACTCAAATGTTACAACTATAAGCATCCTTCATCATCTCAAAAAGATAGATTTTGATGGAAGATCTGATATTGTACATATTCTAACATTTCAACTTATTTCTGTATTCATAGAGGTTTCTATTTATTATTTCCTTCTTGCACTTAATGTGAAAATCCTCCTCATTCTTGATAATGCGAGAAGTGGATATTTTTTGTGACAAAAATAAATTTAAGCACTAAACATAACATGCAAAGTGCATACTTGGTTATCTGAAAGCTCTGAGTGTGATTCATATTTTCTAAAAAGTTTTTAAAATTCTTCTGATCCATCTTTTAAATGTAAATAGGTGTGATTTTCAAGACCTCCTTATGTGTCATATACCTAATGCATTACTACTTA